ATTTGTAATATAATTTGTAGAAGTGTAATTTATAACAATGAGATTGAATTATCCATTGATTAAAAGGTTGAATTACTTAGAAAGGAAAATGAATAACATCTTACCAATGTTTTAAATGTGGGAACTTAATGTATTTGCCTTTTAAAATAAAGCTAAGAATTAATCTTTGGTTGTCTAAAAAACTTTCAAATCTGGATATGTATATTTTGCCACTCACATATTTTGTGGTCTTTAAAAAAGCAACTTGGTTTTTTAAAAACACTATTCAATACATAATCCCTTTACATCCATGAGCATCCTATCAAAACAATTCAAAATCAAGATCCAAAACACAAGAGTCAAAGTGACCTCTTTAAATGGCTTCATGAGGATGCAGTGCTCTTTCCAAAATAGTATTTTTGTGTGGTAATTCCTTTTTGGCCTCTCTCAGGAAATTTACCACATCCTGAGAAAAATCAGTTGAGAAATTTGAAACATTGGAAGAAGTGTTATAATTCTCTGAGAATTAAAGCTTAACAATCTACAGATATTACTGGTTCAGAGGAATCCAGTAATGTCAGTTAAAAGTAAGAGCGAGGAATGCTGACACGCAGAGCTGGAGGTTAATGTGGACCTTTCTGGGAATAGGACAGGATCATGTAGAAGAGAAGTGGAACAGTCCGATTAGTCAGTCAACCTCGTTCTTGTGGCCATGTTATATGTATGTTTTATACGCTCGTCTGTAATAATGGTGAGTTATTCTTACAAATAAATATTAGTAAGTTTATACACATAATACACTTCGTGCAAAATTCTGCAAATGATATTCCATGAAATAAATTTTGGAAGCAAGGACGTCCTTAAATTGGCAACTTCAGCATGTGATTCTGTGTAGGGCCCTTAACCTACTGTATGTTTCAAATGTTACATTTTTATATTATCCAGTAATCTTTGCTGGCATTTCCCAGTGTTTGAATATTCAGCATAGGCTACAGATCTTTGTAAACTTTAACAGAGAAAGGCAGAGAAAAAATTTGTGACTATTAATATGAAATACTACTTCATGAAATCAGAAAATGATGTAAAATCTAAATTTATAAAAACAATATTGATGTCAGCAGCAAAACCCAAATTAGTGTAAACAGTGTTATTTTTAGTGTTGTAAAAAGATGACTTTAAATTATGCACCATGTACCCTAATGCTCTGAATTGAGGATGTTTTTGAGTACACCCTTAATAATTTGTCCAAAGTTTATACAAAATGAGAGAAATTTTTCCTTATCTGGCATATTTGTCATGAAACAAAAATCAAGAATGTTGGACAGGGCAATTAATAATTTGTATATTTTAAATTTTTATTTTGAGAATAATTGAAATATTAAATATCTGTAGAAGTATCTTTCAAGATTAGAATTTTTTGACGTTTTTGTTTTCTTTTAGTGTTCTCTATGATGAAATGTCTATGCCACGTAGAAATAATTGTTACATGTTATTAAAATATATAACCTTGTCAAAATAATTGTTGATTCATAACAAATAAATAACCATGTATCATTTTCTTAAATAAAAAGCTCTGAAACTTTCAATATAACCATATCATAAAAAATTCTCTTTGTTATATCATTTATTATTATTTAAAATATATAAAATATTGTGAAAAATACATAGTGATTTATATCTAGGGAATTCTGAGAATGCAATTGATTACTCCTGAATCCTGGGATTAATATATGTTGGGTATTTGGAAACACTGCTTGTTAGAGGCTCATTCTGAATCATTGAGGTATCATCCAAGATTATGTATTGTGTTAGGTACTATTGTAGACTCGTTCTCTTACATTATTATATTTAAATTGCACAGCAGTGCTGTGAAAAAATTCTTTTTTAAAAGATTTTTTATTTATTTATCTGTAGAGGGGAAGGGAAGGAGAGAGGGAGAGAAATATCAATGTGTGGTTGCCTCTCATGCGCCTCCTACTGGGAACTGGCTTGCAACCCAGGCATGTGCCTTGACTGGGAATCGAACCACGATCATCTGGTTCGCAGGCCCATGCTCAATCCACTGAGCTACATCAGCCAGGGCAAGAAATTCTTAAAGTATGTTTTACAGAAGGAGAAACTGAGGCTAACACTCTTTTAAAGTATTTCTAGCTGATTAAGAATAAAGTTGTGCTTTGAATTCAGAACTTTTCTGAGTTCAAAGTTTCAAGTTTATATTTTTTCATTGATCAGAATGTCTATTTAAAATATAAACTATTCACTTAAAATGTTGTATAGATAAGTAAATTAAGCTACTATGTAAAATTTTTGACTAATAAATTCAAAAGTTGAGTGGATTTATGTCATTTAGTGCTTTTAAAATTGTGCTTTATTTAAGATACTATATATGTACATGGATATAAATACAAATATTTGTTGAATGATGTATCAGGAAATAGTAGAATCATTTGATGAAGTGGTATTTTGGTTTTGAGTTTTGTGTGTTGTTTTAATGATCACATTTGTAGCTAATCATGTTTTAAACCTAGCAGTAGTTTTAGTTTAGCACTGTCCTGTCCAAATCAGCAGCCACTAACTCCTTGTAGCTTTTTAAATTTACGTTATTTAAAATGGAATAAAATTATGGTTCAGTTTCTCAGTTGCACAAGCAACATTTCAAGTGCTCATTTATCACACATGGCTTAGTGGCTACTGTATTGTGCAGATGTAAGTTATCTTTCACTTTATAGACTTTTGTTGCCATAACACTGGTCTAAAGCATCAAAAATTAACTGCCTCCTGCCCCTGCTGAGCTGTCAGCCTGCTCTCTGTCTGTGAGTCTGTCTCTGTTTTGCTTGTTAATTCAGTTTGTTCATTAAAATCCACATATGAGTAAAATCATATGGTACTTGTTTTTCTCTGGAGGGGTCAAACAAAAAAGAAAACTGATGGACACAGACTACAGTGTAGTGATTGTGGGAGGAGGAGGGTGGTTGAAGGTGGAAGAGAGTATGGGGAGATAAATGGTGATGGGGAAAAATAATAAAAATGTACTGTTAAAAAATGAAACCATCCAGCCTGTCTTCACCAATGAACAGTTCCCTCCTCTGCATCCCAGAGAAGGGACTCCACCTGAAAAAAAAAGAAACTTAAAAAATAAAATATTACATTGATTTATAGAAATCAGGTATTCCGTTCTTTGATATTCAATGTAGATTATGTTAACTTGGGGATATAGTCTGTCATATATGAGGGAGACCCCCAAAACAGAATTTATTTTTAAAAGATTGTGTATTCTTATATGTTTAAACTTCAGTCACCTTCAACGTACTCTCTATTTGATGCAATACACATATCAAGATGTTTTTTCCACTGCTTGTAAACCAGTTTTGATGCCCTTTGTGCTTCTGCCATTTTCTGTTTCAATCCCTTCCACATTGGCAAAACATTTTCCTTTGAGGAATTTTTTCATCCACAGAAACAAAAAAGTCACTTGAGGGTGAGATGGGGTCAGTAGGGAGGTATGGGGTATAGGGGTCATGCCATTTTTGGTCAAAAACTGCTGAACACTCAGTATGGTGTGGGCAGGTGTGCTTGTAAACAACACATCACGAAATGGGCAAATGCTCAGAAAGTCTTCAGAACAAATTTACTGAAGCAAAATGCAGCCTCTCACTATAACACCAACTGGTACACTGATACAGATGGGTTCCTAGAACACTCACTTAGCAGGGGAAGCCTGTACTACAACGAGCCTCTCTTCTAGAAGGTAATTTCATTTTTGGGGGGACCCCCCTATATATCGTCTCTCTTCCCACTCATTCTATTTTTTTCCCAACTCTAAAGTGATGTTACTTACAAGCATTTCCTTTACATCACGAGATTCATTTGCTTGCTTTGGGAATTTCTGAATTAGGAAAATGTCTTAGGTTTACTAAACCAAGGTTAATAAATCATTCATGTAAGCTCTTAGCTTCTTAAATGTTAAATTGAGTTTTTAATGAGGAATCTATTAAGTGTTATTGTGATAGCATATTTTTTAACTTGGTAAGCTTATTCTGTGCTGCATTTTAAAATAATTGTTCTTTGGAATATGGCATTTAATGAATCCAAGTGGCAGACTGTGGTCACTGATAAGGAAAAGGTCCCATTCCAGTTATTGTAATAACATTTTATTCTACACATTGGCTATTTGTCATAACTATGACTGTCTTGTACTAAAGGTAAACTTTTTCTGATATTGGGCCATAACTGCTAAAATGATACTTTACTAGTGATTACTTTTAAAATTAAACCCATGTATTAAGCCATAAAGTGACGAGTGCATTGTAAATAAACTGCTATAATAATGAAGTGTTTTAATTACAGTCCCTAGTGTGAGCATAGAACTCAGTAAAAATTTTACTTTAATTCTTACTATGTTCATGTTTTTTTCCTTTAAGTTGTTTGAATCTAAGTAAAAAAGGGGAGCTTCAGCTTTTAAATTCATTTGAACAAATTCCACGGCTGTTCTCCCAGTTAGTGAGTGTTCACTGCCTTTGCAGCAAGCTAATTGCTTCTGCTAATAAATAATCTAAAATCGATGCTGACAGCAGTTAATTGGCACAGAGATTTTATTTTGTAAAGCTCTTGCTAACGACCTTCTTTAAATTAATAGCATTAAGTGCTATGAGGAAATAAATCTGAGGAATTGCCTGTCATTTGCTTGTCATGTCTAATAACTTCCAATAATGATGGCTGATAGATTTTTGCACATTCCATTATTGAAGTTGGTGCATGTAATTATTCTCCTCATTATATGTAAACAATTAGTAATATTTGGTATTTCCTTGCAGTAAAGCTGTTAAGTACAAGTAACATTAGAGGTTAGAAGTCATTTCAAAATCTGGATTTTAATTATTTGAATGTGGGAAGTCTTTCATGCTGTCTGGATATATAATGTGCTGTTTATTTTAAGCCTTATGCTTGCACACTTTTTAAATAGGACTTATAAGTAGTGGGTGTTTTAAAATGTGGCAATTTATGGAAATTTTTGTTCTCAGCTTGAAGAAGTCATGGAAAAAGAAACGTACAAAACAGCTAAATTAATTCTTGAAAGGTTTGATCCAGACTCAAAGAAAACAAAGGTAAGCTTGTGATATATCACTGCTATTTTATTATAAATTGCACATTGTAGTAGGTCACTGTAGTAACATCATTGTAATTGACAGGAGTTTGAGCCGCCATCTGCTGGAGCAGCTGTAACTGCAAGACCTGGACAAGGTAAATAACTTTGTAGAAACTGCTGCTGCTGTTGGAAAGATCCATATTTACCCAAGTGAGTTCAAAAGTGTGATAGAGGCATATAAAAACTTGTGTAGAATGCTTTTGTGTTGATTTTTATTTGGTAATTTGGGATATGACTTGGAGTGATCCAATAAATTTATTTCATTTTGATTTTACAGGATTATGTTGATAAATAAAGATGTTATCTGTTGAGACTTAAACAATTGGCTTAAATCTTTTGAAATTTAAGTAATTTTACCAATATTTCATAAGGGTTTTTTTTTCTGTAAGTGTATTTCTTGGAATATGTTGTTAAGAACAGTTCTTATATTTTTATGTTTTATTTTTAAGGTAAATTTAATAAAGATTTTTTATCAAATTTGAAGTTTCTTCTAAAATAACACTTTTATTTAGAAAGAATAAAATTATTTAGAAGTAAGAAAAATTGAATTACTGTTATATAAAACATTAATTTTTTGGAGGTTATATCACCAGATTAATAGTGAAATCTTCACTGTTATGTCATTATTATGTAAATTTTAAAAAGTTATTACTGTAAGTGGTTACATAAAGTTTTCCTAAGACTGGCATGTGAAAAGATACTTTTGAGTTTGGCTTCCCTCTTTGTTCTCTTCTTTAAAATATGATATAGTGATAAAGGCTTTTGTTTTACTATGAATATACCATTTAAGAAGATTTAACATCTATTATTATAAATCATCAGAACTGTAGCTTGGTTAATAAAGTTAGGATGACATAGAACTTTTTGAGAAGTCAATTTTTTTATAAATGTCCACAAAGACTATGTTGACTAATAATTTTAGGTTTTTTATTAGCAGAGGTATGTGGCAAGAATCCTACCCTCTCCCATATGCCATAAGTAGGATTTTGGTTTTTAGGACTGTTAGCCTATTCTTTCGATAAAAATGTGAAAATGTATGCATGGTTAATACAAATTAGTCATAGATACTTGCAATGAAACTCCTACTTTCACAGTCAGTTTAAATTTTTCTACAAATTGTACTTCTTTCTGGTAATTATAAAAACCATTTTTTGGTCTATAGGCTAGGTTTCTGTAGTTTTTATAGTGTTTTGTGTAACTGGGACACCTGAGGATGCGTTCATTGATTTTAGAGAGGGAGGGAGGGAGGCACGGGGAGGGTGGGGAAGATGGGGAAACATTGATATGAGAGAGAAACATTGATTGTTTGCCTCCCATATGCTGCAACCAGGGATCAAAACCACAAGCTAGGTGTGTGCCCTGACTGGGAATCAAAGCCGGGACCTTTTTGATGTATGGGACAACACTTCAACCACTGAGCCACTCAACAGGGCTCCAAAATATTTTTAAATATTTTTAAATAGTCTTAGTGAATGTATTTTTAAAATGTAGCATATTGCAGAAAGCTGTTGCTAGCAATTTTTTAAAATCTGTTTTTCTTTCTTACTAAAAAAGTACAGATTCTTAAGTATTTACTAATATTTAGGCAACACAAGTTTCTTTGAGAAGCTAAACTTGTCTTTCCTTAGAAGCTTTGATATTTACATAAATTCTTTTCTTCTGATATCATGTCATAATTATAGAAAAACCATTGCTGGTCTTTCTGCTTTAGATTCCTGTGGCACTGCTTTTAAATATTCTTTTAGCAGGAATTAATACTTAACTATGTGTGTGTGTGTATATAAACATATAAATTAACACTTACATATATTACTAAAATGTTCATTTAAAAGAATGTATTAAATAACTTATGTGCAGACACCATGGAGAATAAACAGACAATTATGTTTTTTGACCTTCAGAGGCTGATAACCTTTTTACAAAAATTTTTTTTTTCTTCTGGAGTGTATTGTCTTAGAATTCCTGGTTATTCCAGGTCTATTGTAATTAACTGCTGTTTGGACGTGAAGTGTTGGAAAAAAAGTTAATTTTCAACATGTGTGCTTGAGATGCCTATTAGGCAGACATCCAAGTGGAGATGTTAAGGAAGCAGTTGAGTATGAATCTGGCATACAGGAATTTTCTGGGCTACAGATATAAATTTGGGTGTTATCAGTATGTGGATGGTATTAAAATCATGAGAATGGGTGAGGTTACCAGGGATATAAATGTGGAGAAGGAAAAGGACCAAGGTCACCCCAGGGCATGCTAACATTAAGAGGTTGGGACTAATGAAGAGGAATCAGAAAAAGAAACTGAAACAAAGTGGTCAGTGAGATAGGAAACCAAGGAGAGTGTGGAGTCCTGGATGCTAATAGAAGGGAGTGTTTCAGGGTAGTGATCATCCGTGACAAAAACTGCTATCAAAGTAAGTTGAGGGTCAAGAATTGACCATCAGTTTTTTAGCAACATTGAGGTCTTTGGTGACCCTGAAAAGAACAGTTTCTGGTGAATAAATGGGCAAAAGCCTGATTAAGGTGAGTTTAAAAAAGTATGGAAGTAGGGAAGTTGGAGACAATTTGAAGAGATAATTCTTTTGAGTAAAGGGAGTAGAAAAATGAGTATTGGGAGGCTGAAGCATTTGCATGTATGGGTGAACATGCTGTAGAAAGAAATAATGGCATGTTTGTGTGTTACTAAGGATGGCCTAGGAGACAAGGAATAATTGATGATGAAGGAGAGAGTGGGCACAATCATTGGAGAACCATTCATGAGGAGGCAAGAAGGAATGGGATTCAGGGTATAGGTGGAAGAGTGGTTTTTGATAGGAGTATGTGCAGTTCCTCCATTATGAAGAGGGAAGACATGGGTAGATATTGGTAGGTGGTGGGAATTTTCTTCTGTCTTTATTTTTTTAATGAGAATGTGAATGGGGAAGATGTTGGAGTTTTTAAAAAATATTTTATTGATTATGCTATTAAAGTTGTCCCAACTTTTCCCCCTTTGTCTCCCTCTATATAGTACCCCCTATTGCCTCTGGCAATTCCACACCCCCCTCCACTTACTTCATGTCTATGGTCTTGCATATAAGTTCTTTGGCTTTTCCATTTTCCTATACTATTCTTAATATCCAGTTGTCTATTCTGAACTTACCAATTTGTACTTCCTAATCCTTGCACCTTTTCCTCCATTCTCCTTCTTTTTCCCAGCTGATAACTCTCCAAATGATCTCCATATCTATGATTGTTTCTGTTCTACTTGTTTGCTTAGTTTGTTTTTTAGATTCAGTTTTTGATAGTTGTGAATTTATTGCCATTTTAATATTCATAGTTTTGACCTACCTCTTTTTTTATATAACTCCCTTTAGCATTTCATATAATAATGGCTTGGTGATGCTGAACTCCTTTAGCTTTACCTTCTTTGGGAAGCACTTTTTCTGCCCTTTGATTCTAAATGATAGTTTGGTTGGATAGAGTAATCTTGGTTGTAGGTCCTTGCTTTTCATCACTTTGAGTACTTCTTGCCAGTCCCTTCTAGCCTGCAATGTTTCTTTTGAGAAATCAGCTGACAGTCTTACAGGAACTCCTTTGTATGTAACTCTCTGCTTTTCTCGTGCTTTTAAGATTCTGTCTTTCTCTTTAACCTTTGGCATTTTAATTATGATGTGCCTCAGTGTGATCCTCTCTACGTCTTTCTTGTTTGGGACTCTTGTGCTTCCTGGACTTGGGTGTTGAATATTTTCTTCACTAAATTAAGCAAGTTTTCTTTCATTATTTTTTCAGTAAGTTTTCAGCTTCTTGCTCTTTTCTTCTTCTGGCACCCCTGTGATGCAAATGTTGGTACATTTGAAGTTGTCCATTAGCCTATCGTTTTTTGGATTCTTCTTATTGCTGTTCTGATTGAATGTCTTTTCCTTCCTTACATTTTGAATCATTGATTTCATTCTCAGCTTCATCCACTCTACTGTTGGTTCCCTATAAACTGTTCTTTATTTCACTTACTGTTATCTTCATTTCTGCCTGGGTCTTTTTTATGTTGTTGTAGTACTCATTAAATTCCTTGAGCATCCTAATAACCACTGTTTTGAACTCTGCATCTGATAGATTGCTTATTTCCATTTTGTTTAGTTTTTTTTTTCTGGAGTTTTGGTCTGTTCTTTCATTTGGGCTTTATTTTTTTTGTTTCTTCACTTTGGCAGCCTCCCAGTGTTTGTTTCTATGTATTAGGTAGAGCTTCTTTGACTCCCTGCCTTTGGTAGCATGGGCTATTGTAGAAAAGTGCACATGTAAGTTGGGTGGGGCAGAACCTTAGGTAATCACCAGGGTGGGGCAACCAGTATGAATTAGGTTGATGGAGTCTCTGATATGATGTAGCTGCTCTGTGGCTCTGTGTGGGGGATGGCTCAGAAAGCAGACAGTGCTACTGCTTGGCCTCTAGAGTTTTGTTTGGGAGGAGGCTGTCCCCCAGCAATCGCCCTGATGCCAGACACTTCAGTTTCTTCCTGTATGCCACTGGTGCCCATTCAGCAGCTGCCCTAGTGCTAGAGCCCAGAGGGATTATGTCTGCGTAAGTCCTAAGTCTGCTTTAAGCTTTTTAAAGAGGAGATTCCTGAGAATATTACAGTTTTCTACTGTCCCAACCCCCACTGGTTTTTATTGCCAGAAGTTATGGGGACTTATCTTCCTGGCACTGGAACCCTGGGCTAGGTGGTCTGGTGTGGGTTTGGGATCCCTCACCTCCAAGGTATCCCTCCTGATTTTTATCCACCACCACTTGGGTGTGGGACTGCTCATTCTATGTCTCCACATCTCTGCACCTCTCCACCCCTCCTACCCATCTGGATGAATATTGCTTCTTTAATTCCTTGGTTGTTGGACTTCCATACAGCTCAATTTTATGATTATTCTAGGTGGTATTTTTTTGTAGTCTAGCTGTAATCTTTGCTGTCATTGTGCAAGGTGAGCCATGTTTACACCTCCATCTTGACCAGAAGTCTAAAAATGCTTTCTTGAGATGCTTTTCTGTTTCATTTTTTAGTTTGATGGACTGTTGGAAGCTCCAGAAAGGCATTATTGTTCACTGGCCCCATTAAACAGTTACTGTAACTTTATATAAT